AGAGGGCTGGAGTTGTGGCTCAGTGGTAGAGTGCTCGCTTCGCACATGTGAAGCACTGAGTTTAATCCTCAGCACTGCATTAAAAAACAATAAGGTCTGGGCATGTGGCTCAGTGATGAAGCACCCCTGGGTACAGTCCCTGCTATCAAAAAAGTGTAACTTGTAATGATCCAGGTGTTTCAGAGTCTTTCAGAGACATGTTTGACTAAGTGAGATTTTATAGCCCTTGGAGCCTCACAGTCCAGATAGTGCACCACAGAATTATAAGAGGTTGGGGCATGCTTTGGGTCTCCTGTACTCAGCACAAGCCCAGGATAGCACAGGGCTGGGGAGGTGCCACTGGAGGCACCTGTAGCCCTGGGTGGCAACTGCTCCTAACCCTCTCCTCACCTGTCTCCCCACCAGGGAGAGAAGTCTTTTTTCCTGCAGCCAGGGGAGAGGCTGGAGCGAGGCATTCAAGATGTGTATGTGCTGTCAGAGCAGCAGGGGCTGCTGCTGAGGGCTCTGCAGTCCCTGGAGGAGGGGGAGGAGGAGGAGAAGGTCTCCCACCAGGCGGGGGACCGCTGGCTCATCCGAGGGCCCCTGGAGTATGTGCCATCTGCCAAGGTGGAGGTGGTGGAGGAGCGGCAGGCCATCCCTCTGGACGAGAATGAGGGCATCTATGTGCAGGACGTCAAGACTGGAAGGGTAACTGCTGAGGGATGGGCGGCTGTCACTGCTATGTGATCATGGTGGGGACTTCCTCTGAGCAAGCATCTGATGCTGCTGGAGAGAGGCACATGGTGGACGTGGGGGAGGGGACGCCAGTAATATTTATAATAGCATCTGCGTGGGCTGCTGGTGGACTCGAGGGCATTCCATGGAATATTTGCTATTTCTTTGTCTAAAATATCTTACTTCAAAACTGCAACTGAAGCCGGGCATGGTGGTACACGCCGGTAATCCCAGCAACTTGGGAGGCCGAGGCAGGAGAATCACAAGTTTGAGGGCAGCCTCAGTAACTTGGCAAGACTCTAAGCAACTTAGTGAGACCCTGTCTCAAAAATTAAAAAGGGCTGGAGATGTGCCTCAGGGGTAAAGAGCCCCCTGGGTTCAATCCCTGGTAGAAAAAAACAAAAAAAACCCTAAAACCTCAAACTGCAGGGATGAGCCTGGTACTGGGATGGGGATTCTGCCCCACTGCAAATCTGGTCCTAGCTTGAACATCTCACTGGAGTGTGACCTGGGAGCAATAATACCCTCCTCCCCCATGCCCATATGCTAGTGAAAGATTTCATTTTTGCTGCTTCACCTAAAACTTCAACCTTGGTTTGACAGAACCACATCTCCAACCTCTTTATCTAAGAATCCAAACTAGAAATACAGATTAGAATCTGAGGAGGTGCTTCCTAGCATTGCATCTCTCTGTGACACCCTCCGAGCATCCCAGGAATAATATTAAGCACTTGTTGTATGCCAAGTGTTCTTTGAATTGGACACATGAAACAGGCCCTTGACCCCACAAGGTGGCCACTGTCATGTCCGTTTGCAGATGAGGAACTCGAAGCAAAGGCTCGAGTAGCTTGCCCAGATGAAGCTTTGCTGCATGGACCATGCTGACCCGCTGTGCTGCTCCAGGATAGATCAGCTTTGCTCAAGATGGCAGGGGTGTCCCTCTAACCCTCACTTGTAACACCTCTGCTTGTCCCCACCTCTCAAGGTACGTGCTGTGATCGGAAGCACCTACATGCTGACGCAGGATGAAGTCCTGTGGGAGAAGGAGCTGCCCCCTGGAGTGGAGGAGCTGTTGAACAAGAGGCATGACCCTCTGGCAGACAGGGGCAAGGAGGACACAGCTAAGACCCTTCAGCCCTCAGCTCCCCGGAACAAGACGCGTGTGGTCAGCTACCGCGTCCCTCACAACGCAGCCGTGCAGGTGTATGACTACAGAGAGAAGAGAGCCCGGTGAGCGGCTGGCCCCAGCCTGCGGGGTGGTACGGGAGGCTCTCCCCCCACCTGACTTCTGGCTCTCCCCCCACCTGACTTCTGGCTCTCCCTTCAGGGTGGTCTTTGGGCCAGAGCTGGTGTCCCTGGGTCCTGAGGAACAGTTCACAGTGTTGTCCCTGTCGGCGGGGCGGCCCAAACGTCCCCATGCCCGCCGAGCCCTCTGTCTGCTGCTGGGACCTGACTTCTTTACAGATGTCATCACCATAGAAACAGCGGATCACGCCAGACTGCAGCTGCAGCTTGCCTATAACTGGTGAGGGCTGAGAGTCTTGGGTGAGGACCTGCTGGGTGCAGCTCTGGGGAGCCCTGAGGAAGAGATGCCTCCTAATGAGGGCAGAATGCCTGACTCATGCCTGGTGCAGAGGGAAGCCAGGCATTAGCAAATCCAGGGAAGTTGTGGGCTCACTCACATTCTGGGACTTTTTATTTTTTTATTGGACATTTAGAGACAGGCTCTTGCTGAGTTGCTTAGGGCCTTGCTAAGTTGCCGAGGCTGGCTTTGAACGTGCGATCCTCCTGTCTCAGCCTCCTGAGCCACTGAGATTACAGGCTTGTGTCACTGTGCCTGGTTAAGAAAACCGCTTTCTCTTCTGGGCCTCTTTGTCCACAGGCACTTTGAATTGAGTGACCGGAATGATCCTCAGGAGGCAGCCAAGCTCTTCTCGGTGCCCGACTTTGTGGGGGATGCCTGTAAGGCCATCGCCTCCCGGGTGCGAGGAACTGTGGCCTCCGTCACCTTCGATGACTTCCACAAGAACTCGGCTCGCATCATTCGCACAGCCGTCTTTGGCTTTGAGACCTCAGAAGTCAAGGGCTCTGATGGCGTGAGCCTGCCCAAGCCCCGGGACCAGGCCGTCTTCCCCCAGAATGGGCTGGTAGTGAGCAGTGTGGATGTGCAGTCGGTGGAGCCTGTGGACCAGAGGACCCGGGACGCCCTGCAGCGCAGTGTCCAGCTGGCCATTGAGATCACCACCAACTCCCAGGAGGCGGCAGCCAAGTGAGTGACACCTGGGGCTCAGCTGCCTAGAATGCCTCTCCGGGGTCTCCATCTTATACTCCCAGGGCGTGAGTAGCATGGAGTCCATTATGTCGACCTGCTGCATCCTTGTCCTCGAGGACCTCTTTACATTGTGGATAACGTGACCCCCTTAAAAATGTGAATGAGATCCCACCTGTACTCCCTTAGCTTCCCACCTTGCTCCTGGTGCAGGGGGTTCGGATTAGCAGTAGAGTGCTTGCCTAGCGTGGGTTCAGTCTCTGGCACCGCAAATGAACTTCTCGGGGCTTCCCCACCTGAAGCCTTTTATTTGGTGGAGGTGTGCTGGGGACTGAACTTCAGGGCACTCGACCACTGAGCCACATCCCCAGCCCTGTTTTGATTTTTGTTTAGAGTCAGGGTCTCTGAGTTGCTTAGCACCTCACCATTGCTGAGGTGATCCTCCTGCCTCAGCCTCTTGAGCAGCTGATATTACAGGTGCGCACCACTGCGCCCAGCCCAACAGCCTTTTGCACAGTCTTATCTGCTGCCTAGACGCTTCCTCCAGAGCATTTTCAAACCAGGCTCCTCCGCTTGATCTCAGTCTGAAGGTCGCCTCCTTTTCTTTCTCCCATGACTGCAGTAGCACCCTCTTTGCCCAGACACCCATGTTACCATCTCCAAGGTGCTTGTTTCTATCTGAAATCGCCCTTGCTTGTTTTTTCCCCACTGGAGGGGAAATTGGGTGAAGCAGGGGCCCTGAGCATGCTGCCTTCCCCAGGTCTAGATCCACCCTGGGGATGCGAACAGCGTGCACGCTGTTTTGAGTGGAGTTGCGTATCCAGTGTCTTCTGGAGGCCAGGGTCTGTCCTGGCTCCCTATAGTTTGGCAGTCTCTGCCCTTGGCAGTCCTATTCAGCTGTGGCCCCATGCCAGCATCTCAGCCTGTCCCTGATCTCATCCAGGCACGAGGCCCAGAGATTGGAACAAGAAGCCCGAGGCCGACTAGAGAGGCAGAAGATCTTGGACCAATCAGAAGCTGAAAAGGCTCGCAAAGAACTCTTGGAGCTTGAAGCTTTGAGGTGGGTGGAGAACCCGAGGAGGATGGTATTGGCAAGTGGTGGGTGAGGGCACCAGGGTGTGTTTGAAATGGAACAGCATGTTGCATGGCCTAAATCAAGGCCCCAAGTGGTCAGGGCTTTCTTTTGAGTCTTATGGGACTCTGCCTCCCCCTCTAGCACGGTGGTAAAGAGCACAGGGACTGCCAAGGCCGAAGCCGAGTCCCGTGGAGAGGCTGCGCGGATTGAGGGCGAAGGCTCCGTGCTGCAGGCCAAGCTGAAGGCACAGGCTTTGAAAATTGAGACGGTAAATTGGGGACTGCTTGTGGAAGGGTGTGGCCTTGGAACTTGGAAGAGACCCATTCATCATGGTCTCTGAAGCCAAGTAGGATACCAAGCACCCTAATATAAAGCCTTCTTCAAGTACTTTGTGTTTTACAAAGATCTTTGCCCTATAGCAATGCATTTAATCCATTCCTTGAGAATAAGGATTATTATACCCATTTTGCAGATGAGTACTCAAACACTGGCACCTTTGTGCCAAGTATGTGAAGCATGTGCTTTACATTCA